TTCCAGCCGCTCGTAAACCGGCCCAGCGGCTGACTACAGGAAGCCCGAGGCAGAGTTGCTCTGCCCCGGGCTTCCTGGAATCAGCCGCTGATCAGTCTCAGCAGCAGCTGACTTGGGGACGCCTGGGTTTCTTAAGTTGAATCTGTATGTAAGTCAGAACTGGCATCCAGATTCAGCCACGGTTGAAACTGATCAGTTTCAGCAGTGGCTGACGCCAGTTCCGACTTACATACAGATTCAACTTAAGAACCTACAGTCCCTATCTTGTACATAACCCGGGGACTGCCTGTATATGGTTTGTTAGTTTTTAAATGCTACCAGATTATTTGTTGTTTTTCCTGTTACACACTAACTCTGCTTCCCCTCTGAAACATCAGGGAGTTATCTGCTTTCCCACGATAGCTTACATACTACCATTAGAGAGAGAGCATATTTATACAAATGATAGTGTTAAGTGTATTAAGTATGTCGAGCCTGACCAAAGTTATTGACACAAAACCAGGCCTCTTGCATCATACCTGCCTCCGGTATAGAGGTCTTTTAAGTGACTTGCTGTGCATCTTAGCCAGTGTTCACAGGTGGCCACTCTGTGGTTCCGCATTTTCCAGGTGTCCAATTTGAGATAACCAGGTTCTAATTTGCAAGCCTACAGTTGCAGCTGTGAGTGCTCAAAATAGGAGATGTGCTTTGAATACATGAAGTGCCCTTAAAATGCTGTGGACTCTGAAAAAATATGTTCAAGGCACTCAAAAATAGTGGGCACGTGAAAATTTGGGTCTTAATCTGAGATGAAGACTTCCACCCACAAAACAGAAACAAGATCACCTAGGTCTTTGGGAAAATCAACTGACCATCTGTAAAGCACTCAGGTACTAACATAAAAATGCCCATAAGGAAATTAATTCTGCATTAAGAGCAGGGTTTATATGGTGTATAGTAAATTAAGTATGGAAGCACATGTTGAATAAAGAGAATAAAAAGAAATAGAGAATCTCAAGCTGTTCAGTGAGCTCTGTCCTTTCTATGCACTGAAAGAAGCTGGGAAATATTATGGGACTGCCCAATTAAAAGGACTACCATAATGGAAATGTACATTGGAGACTCAGATTAAGGTTACAAAGGCTACCTGAATCTATAGTTCTAACTTTCAAGTGCGTGATTTTGCAATTTTAATGTCACTGAGTAGGTTTTATTTACCTCAAAACTGTCACTTCCCCTTTTCCCTGTAAGAAAGGAGCAAAGTGGGAGTTCCTCCACAAAGTGGTTTAGTTTAGGGCATTCAAGTTAATGCTTTCTGAACAACAAAATCAGTCTGAATAAATACAATTCTGAGTTCACAAAATTATTGTTCCTATTACAGGTTATAAAAACAACTTTTTCTAACTCTGTCAATTCAGACTTCACATCAATACAGTTTGGCCAACACACAAGTTTCAAAATTAAAAAAAAAAAAAAAACACAACGAATAGTCTGGTACCACCTTAAAGACTAACAAAACATGTAGATGGTGGTATGAACTTTCGTGGGCACAATGCACTTTCTAGTGGTGCTATTAGACTATTCATTTTTTTTAAATGTTTCCAGTTACAAATTAACTCAGCTACCTCTCTGAAGCTTTTGAAAATCCAAGTATTGCAATGCATGTGCAGTGCAGAAGAGACAGAAGTGCCTTTGCTCATCTCCCAACATTAAAGCAGTTTTTTTACATTAGATGTAAGAAATAACATAGGACACACCTTCCCCAATACTAGCACAGTCAGAGAAGTAAACAAGTCTTAACTATTTTGATGAGAGGTAAAGCAAAACTGGCATGTGAAACAGAACCAGATGCACTACTTTGTCCTATGGATCCAATGAGAACAGCAAGAAGAGCCTAATACCCATCTCCCCTCTGCAAGACATGCTTCATTTTCTTTAAACTTTTTTCACAGCCTTGTCTTGCTATGCTTAATAGAAAACAGAGAGAACCATATTTACAGAGTCAAAACATGTAATCTTTAGTAAACTATACAGTGTAAGAGCAGGATCACCATAGGAGATCAAGAAAGCTAAAAACTAACAAAATAAGCTTTCAGCCTGCTGCTGCATGTTGTACCTTATTAGGTATAATTAAGGTAGAAAATATCATCACTTAAAGAAGCTGTTAAGTACAAAGAAGCAAAAGGAATAAGAAAAGTATCAAGGGGCAGAAGAAAAGATCTACCGAGACACAGGAAATTAACCAGAGACAAAGTGGAACACAGAAATGAAACTGACAATCTACCAGCAAATTAAAAAGTTACCAATACATCCAAAAGGACTAGATCAATAAGCGTCATAATGAGGTATTCATACTGTATGAAAAACCAATTAACCACCCAACTCAGCAAAATGCTTTCAAAGACTTGTTGCTGAACACAAAGTGCTGTGTTTCCTATTTCCCCCCCCCCCCCAGAAGTCTACACAATTATAAAAGTGCACCCACACAGGGAGGGAATACAAAGGCAATAGCTCTGGTGCTTTGAGAATGATGCGAAGTAGCACAGCACAGAGCAATGGCGATGCTGTCACAGACGCCCCTCTGAAACAGTCACTCCATCCTCACATCGTAGGCTCTCTGAGCTTCGAAGTTTAAATACTACACGGAGTTAACGCGCTCTGACCCTGGGGCATCGCCAGGGAAGAGGAGTATTTGGAAGGAAGAGTTGAAGAGGTTTTCTCGGTAGTTTGCGAGAAGGCACTGTAAACCCCCGCCTCCCAAGTGAAGGCGTTCGCTGACCCATTGGTGGAGTTCAGAATGCGGCGTGGCCGCCCATGTAAACACCTGAGCAAATCCCTGTTACACGCTTAACAAGATCCCGGACACTGATGGTATCTCCCTGAGGAGGCTGATCACCCAGTTCCTGCTCTTTCAGCACGAACTTGTAAATAAGCCACCCCCCGGGCAACGTTTGCCAATGACAACAGGCTGGCGAAGGGGAAACGAGCGGAGTGGCGAGTGAGCCAGCCCGATCGCGGACCTCCCCGAGGTACCCACCTCTTTAATCTTAGCCCGTTTCTGCTGGACTTCAGGGTCCTCCGGCTCTCGCCCCACGGCCCCGATGGGCTCGCGGAAGAGCAGGCTGGGTAGCCCGGCGGCTCCCGAGTCCTTCCTGCCCCCCCTGTCCTGGGGAAGGTTCTCCTTGTCCTGGCGGGT